GACGCCCGGTGGGACAAATCAAGACAGCCACTCTCAACCTGCAGGGGTTCTCCTTTTCGAAGCGAAATTAGTAGAGAATCATGTCTCTTTACAAATACCACAATGCGTTCAGGGTAGTGCACACCTTCTACTGGACACCGGAAGTGATCTAAACATGATAAAATTGTCTAGCCTACTTGACGAGGTATTTGTCGACGAAACCCAGATTTACCAATTGAAGGGAATAAATGAGTATCTAGTGCACACTATTGGGTCCGTAACTTTGGATGTACAATTTGGAACAAAGGTGGAGCCAACGAACTTCCAAGTCGTTCGGGACGATTTTCCAGTACCTCATGAGGGAATTTTGGGCAAACCTTTCCTGGTTAACAACAGACTTATTATTGACTATCAAGCTTCGAAAATTACGCAATCCAATGAAGAGCCAATCCAGGTGGCACCACGTACGGAAACCATAATAGCAATTAGTACAACAGCAGCGGAAGGCAGCACTTTTGTCATTCATTCCCAAACTATCGGAGGAGAGAACATACGCTTGGGAAATGTACTGTCTACGGTCAAACAAAGACAACTGTTGGCAGTCGTAGTGAATTGCACAGAGAATCCAATAACACTACAACCACTTCAGCTAAAAGATGTTTCTTGTAGCGAGTACCAAGAATCCACCACGCTAGTAGCTACACATTTTCAAAGGGAACCGGTGGACACAAATCGTTTAAAACGCATTAAGGAGACATTACAGACAGAGCACTTGAATCCCGAAGAATGCAACAGCTTATGGAAGATATGCCGCGAGTTTACGAATATATTTCATTTAAGTGGAGACACTCTTACGTCCACAACTACCATACATCATGAAATTCGGACTCCAGAGAATGCTACACCTATTAATGTACGTCCCTATAGGCTTCCGTATGCCCACAGACAAGAAATTATTAAACAAACGGAAGAGTTAGAAGAAAACAAAATAATACAACCTTCTGATTCTCCATGGAATGCACCACTAATCGTCGTACCAAAAAAACCTGATGCACAAGGGAAACCTCAGTATCGTGTATGCGTCGATTTTCGTCGCCTGAATCAAATTACAGTGGGAGATGCATTCCCAATACCGCGAATAGACGAAATTCTAGATCAGCTAGGTCGTTCTCGTTATTATTCCACACTAGATCTGGCCAGTGGATATCATCAGGTGCCGATACGGGAAGAAGACCGTCAGAAAACTGCATTTTCGACGGACAAAGGACACTATGAGTTTATACAGATGCCATTTGGGTTGAGTGGAGCGCCCAGTACTTTTCAGCGTCTGATGAATTCAGTTTTAATCGGAATCAATGGTGTCAAAGCTTTTGTTTATCTAGACGACATTATCATTTATGCAACAGATTTAAGAGATCATGAATCAAAGTTAAGGGAGGTATTTTCTAGACTCGATAAGCATAATCTTCGCCTACAAACATCAAAATGTCAGTTTCTTAGAAGAGAAGTAATATATCTAGGACATCTTATAACTGACAAGGGTGTCGAACCTGATCCAGAAAAAATACGATGTGTCAAGGAACATCCAACACCTAGAAACGTGGTGGAAGTAAAGCAATTCCTGGGTCTGTCGGGGTATTATCGTCGATTTATCAAAGACTATAGCCAAATTTCAAAACCTCTTACTTCACTCTTAAAGAAAAATGTACCATTTGAATGGACGATCGAAGCTCAAATCGCGTTTGATACGTTAAAAGAAAAATTAATTAACGCTCCAATTCTACAATACCCTAACTTTGAAAAAGAGTTCATTCTGACCACAGATGCAAGCCAATTCGCGATCGGTAGCATATTATCCCAAGGTATTCCAGGACAAGATCTCCCAATCGCCTATGCTTCTAGAACACTCAACAAAGCAGAACAAGCTTACAGTACTACTGAAAAAGAGTTACTGAGCATAGTCTGGGCAGTCAAGCATTTCCGTCCATATTTGTTGGGACGAGAGTTTAAGATTTTCACTGATCACCAGCCACTAACGTGGTTATTCAACGTCAAAGATCCGGGATCTCGGCTGATGAGATGGAGATTGAAATTAGCTGAATACAATTATGAAGTAGTATATAAACCCGGAGTCACCAATACTAACGCGGACGCCCTAAGCCGCATCGGTGACGTGAAGATAATAAGGACCAGATCTCAGACTTCACAGGAAGATAAAAGTATAACCCTGAAATCGTTTGAAGAATACATGGAGGACCCAGCTAGTCAAAACGTGAAGAACTCAAATGTACACGAAGTCTTTGGAGACATTTTTGAAACACCAGAAGAATTTCATTTAGTTCATTGTGTATCAGGAGATTTTAAATTGAGCCGAGGAATAGCACTGGAATTCCGAAGAAGATATGGTCATATAGAGAAACTAAAGCAACAGCACCCGAAGAAAACAGAGGTAGCTTATTTCAAGTTGGGATCACGTTACATTTTGAATTTGGTGACAAAGGAAACATTTTGGCAGAAACCAACTCTCCGAGATATCTATGAATCTTTACTTAATCTAAGAAGATTCTGTCGAGAGGTCGAAATCAAAAAGCTTGCCATGCCTCGGACTGGTTGTGGCTTAGATCAGCCGGATGAATCTGCCGTATTACAAATGATAAAATACATATTCCAAAATTCTGGCATTTTGATTCAAGTAATCTCCCAGCAAAACGCTTCCGAGTTGGACAAGCATGCTATAATCCATGAACATCATGTCACAGTCTTAGGAGGACATCGTGGTATACAACAGACAATAAAACGAATTCAGTGTCAGTATGATTGGGAAGGTTTGAAACAGGATGTTACCGAATTCATTAATAAATGCACCTCATGTCAAGTAAATAAAATTTCTAACCGTAACACAAAACAACCCATGATAATTAGCACCACAGCGTCGGAACCATTTGAGAAAGTATTTATAGACGTTGTGGGTCCATTACCACGAACTCTTGATGGTAACGCATATATACTAACCATGCAATGTGATCTAACTAAGTTCTCAATCGCAACACCCATGGCCAATAAAGAGTCAAACACGGTAGCCTATCATTTTGTGACTTCTTTCGTATGTATTCATGGGATGCCTCAGAGTCTTGTAAGTGATCAAGGTACCGAATTTCTTAGTCGAGTTTTCACTGAAACATGCAAGCTTATCGGCATAAAGCATTCCACAACGTCACCTTACCATCCTCAGGCGAACGGGGCACTTGAACGGAGCCACAGAACCCTAGGAGAATACCTTCGACATTATGTAGATGGCAACCAACAAAACTGGGACTCGTACGTTCCGTACGCTATGTTCGTGTATAACTCATCGGTACATAGCTCTACGGGGAAACAACCTTACGAGTTACTATATGGCAAGACCTTGCTAGTGCCTAATTCACTGACAAAAGCCCCAGAAGCCCGTTATAATTATGATGACTACCAAACAGAGTTAAAACAGAAGTTAAGGGAATCCCATCAGATCGCTCGAGAACGCTTAATTCAAAAGAAACAGAAAACTAAGTTCGACTACGACCAAACCACACATTCCGTTGACATTCATGTAGGAGATAGGGTTCTGTTACAAGACAAAGCGAGAAAAGGTAAACTGAGTGCCAAATGGCTTGGACCTTACGAAGTCCTAGAACTAAATTGTAACGACAATGTGACCATCCTCAAGGGTAAAAAGAAGGCAAAAGTACATAAAAACCTTGTTAAACCTTTCTTAGAGTAATGTGAGCTACTCATAGTTGTAAATATTAGTATAGTAAATATATATAAAAAAAAAAAAACAAAAAAAAAAACAAAACAAAAAAAAAAATAATGTTACAGATCAACATTCTTCATTCAGATCAATATAGTATTTGGGAGAACAGGATACACAATAGATTCCGTACCCGAGTCAGGCATCCTGTATCAACCCATGGGCACAGTACATCCAGTGGTCAACGAATTCAAACTTGTAACTTTCCTGAATATCTCCGCTTTAGACACTAACCACAACGATATCGTCGCTTTTCATAAACAACTCGAAATATTTTGTAATCAGTATATTTGGGTGCACCAATCAACAGCTGTTCTTTCAAGTTGCGAATGGATGAAATCCAGTACAACATCGATTTTTCACCAAATCGAACAAGTCAAGGGAGAAATTCTAGGATCTTTAGACTCAAATTACCAACCAACAAGAGTAAGAAGAGGTCTTTTCAATGCAGTTGGCAGAATTTCCAAAGTTTTATTCGGCGTGTGTTCGGATGAGGATGCGGAATTCTTAAACTCCAAAATCTCGGAATTGAGTAATGCTAGAACTGATACCCTGAACATTCTAGAAGCACAGACCAGAATTGTACGAGCCACGGTTACCGATATAAACTCAACTTTGACAACAATTTCTAAAGAACGAAAGAATATGGGAGACTTGGTCACCCAACTAAGTGAAAAACTGGGAAAGTCGCTTTCAACGCTATCAGAACTAGACGCTCGAGAAATGCTTAGTGAGCAAGTCACAGGAATAAGCTTACTGCTTACCCAACAAGCATTTGGTATACAGAAACTCCTACATATAGTGAACTCTGCAATTCACGGACAAGCTCATCCTAGCCTCATGACTCATCGACAATATGTGGAACATTTACGAGAAATTCAGTTAACTCTTCCCATTGGCTCAAATTTACCTTTCCCGTTAGAGAAGTTTAGTATCACAAAATTCATTCAGGTTACACAAGTTTCCATTTTACTCGCAAACAACACGCTTATATTTATACAAAAAATCCCTTTAATCAGTTCTAATTCCTACAAGGGTTATAGGCTTATACCATTTCCTGTTCGACAACAGGGTCAGACATATGCTATTTTTACATCTGTACCTTCTGCCTTAGCACTTAGCTCAAATCGAGAATATTTTATCCCTCTAACAGAATCGCAGTTAGGAAATTGTAAACGCATCGACACTTCTTTCTATTGCTCGCAGATCATGTGCATGTATAGTTCGACAAATACAATCTGTGGGGTCAATTCTCTCTTAGGTTTAAAGGAAAATTCTTCTGTATGTAAAGTTCAGTATGTAAAAATTACTAATTCTATTTTTAGTCGCTTAGAATTAACAAATACATGGTTGTACGTATCAGTAAGTGAAAATGTAGCTATTAAGTGTGACAATGAGGATCCGCACAACATCATCCTTAATGGGACAGGGCAATTAAC